GATTGCACATCAATGTTGTGATCAATTGACAGCTGTTAAAACAAGGTATCCGCCGACCAGTATCACCTGACCGTATGGCGGGCTCAGATGTCGACCCATCGAGGTCGAGTACTTTTTTGAAGGTATCCGCTGACGAGTTACTGGTTTTCAATGATCGCAGGCTCAAATTTATTTTTTAAAAATTTATATAAAATGTGCTGTGTTTAGGTCACGATGGCCCCGCACTATTAGGATTTTGATTTCAAACTAACCACGGACACGAAAATTCAGCCAGTTATTTAAAAATACAGGCGGGGAAGACCTTTTCTTACCCAGGTCACGCGTTGGTCACATTCTACGTCCAATTTTTATGCTCTGATTGCTCAAAATTTGACAGGTGAGTTCATGCGGAAAATTTATGCAGCATCTTGAAACTTGTTTACTTTGACAGCTGAAGCTGACAGAGTTTTGTGTCAACATGTGATGTTTTTAACTGTCTTTTTCCAATGGATGTACAAAATGAAATTCAGCTGCTCTGTTATTCATGGATAGTTTGTTCATTGGTTTTTTGGTTGAGAGATACATCGTTTGTCAAAGTCCGAAATCCGATTTCCGATGGCATCGTTTTCGTTGTTCGCCTTGCTTGATGCGTATCAAAGAGGGTTCAAAATTCTCATTAGATTTCATGTAGATATATTTTTTCTCCGCAAACAGAAAGAAAACGTTCAGGAGAATATTTAGTCATAAAATTGGCCGTAGAAAGAAAACTTTGAGCGTTGCAAGTTGAACCGGCATTACAACCTATTACAGGCGAAGATCTTGGCAGAGGGACTAACCAAGCCCCTGATGCACGCCTTGACGTCAACTGTAGGGGTTCGTGAGAGCGACAGGGGGCTACATTTTTCGATGTAAGGGTGTGTCATCCCAATACAGACTCGTATAGAGATCCTAGCCCCAAGCAAATTTACAGGATTCATGAAAATGAAAAGAAGCGAAAATACAACTCTCGCGTCACAGAAATAGAGCAAGGCACATTCACGCCACTGGTATTAACAACGACGGGAGGGATGGCTGACGAATGCCTGAGATACCACTCAAGTTAGCCGAGCTATTATCAGCAAAAAAAGCAACAGAGCTACGCCACAACAATTTCATGGGTCAGGGCGAAAGTGTCCTTTGCAATTTTGCGGAGCGCTCCTATATCTAAGGGGATCGAGAACCCCGAGAAGGAGGAACTTAGATGTTAAGGACAGGAATCTAGAAATGGAGAAGGGTCAAGCAGGACTTCCCTGGGCTCAACAGCTATAGATACTTTATTATTGGGATGTACATAGAAATTTTCATTTTTTAGTTTATAGACAGTTGTTTACATTTGTTCTGTTGGAAACCACCGGACCACCAAGAAGCCTTTTTTAACTATAGTTATACTAAATTTGTATTTAATTTTCAATTTGAGAAGAGTTTAATAAAGTATATTATTATTAAAAAAAATTATTATTACAAGTGATACGGGTAAAAGTAGATTATAGTTATTTTACACTATATAAAGCTTCGAGTTTAAACACTCGAAAAATTGATCAAAAAGAGTTGGCTTTTTCGTCTTTCTTCGGTGGCGCATATTTATATATACGACGAAGTCACGGTTCGAGGTTGTCCGCTATAGTGAAAAGTGATTCCATTTGCTTTTATGAAAATGGATGGATGAATATTGATCGTTTTTTTTGATACACAAATCATGTCCAGTGACATACAAATCATGTCAAAGAGAAAGTAAAATTAACTGATTCTTAAGTCGCGGCACAAGCCGATTAATAAAATGGATTTACAAAGAGAGATACGAATTGCTCTTACTGAAAAGAAAACAACAACCTATTGTTATTCATTCAAAATATTTCCCCGATTCTGATTGGCTAAAAGTGCATGCATAATTCACCATAACCAGCTACTGATGAAAAAATTTGGAAGAACTTTGCGTTTAATGAACCGATGACGTCAAAAGTGCAGCTTTCTTCTAGGTTAATGCACCGTTAACCGAGAAGACCTGGCGACGAGGTTGAGTTGTTTTGGTTGTAAAAACAAAAAATGGCGAACATTTCACCCTTTTCAAGAGTAAGAACTATAGCTAAAAACATGGCAAGAACAGCAAAAGGACAACTCGAAGGGCGACATCTGCTTTTTGTAGAATATTTGTGGAGCTGAACAACCCTAAACGTGCACTATCGAAGATGGACTTAGCATCGATGGATCGATGGAGGTAAGCATGTTTTAGCCATGTTTTTAAACTAAAAATTATTATTTATAATGAATAATAAAACAATTATTGAATTCGGCTTTCGTATCATATGAAGAATCATGGCCTCGATCTCCATAATTTTTCATAAGATACTCAGCCTCATTCATTAATTGTTAAATAACAGCCTGCGATGTTACGTCATGTTAGGCCCTTTTCAAACGTGGAATTTCTTATGAGTGCCGAATACCTATTTTAGTCGATGAAAGTAATTAAATACGGCAGATGATT